TACCTGCGCAGCTGTCACGTGTTGTTCGTTTTTTTTCGTGAGAGGGCTGTGCGTGTGACAACCATGTTTGAGGTTAAATCTTTTCAGCTAAGTTTATTTCCGTTGAACCAAGTGAGAACTCACGAGACGAGGAACGTCCCATTTGTAAGAGCGACCCCGGGGTGTAAGTTTACGCTTCCGTTCCAATACAGTTCCCTCGGCTAATATATGACCCAAAATAAACTTAGTAATTTGTTTGCGAAAAGAAAAAAAACCAAACCCCCAACGCGTTTCAAATAATTTAATCCGCACCAAACGACTATATCGGCACGTTTTTCCCTCTCGGTCTTTAACGAGCAAAAAAGCACAATCTGCTTTTTTAAAATTTTTAATCTCGGTGGATTTCGAGCGTGCTCGCTACGAGCGGGGCCCGGGAACGCAAATTAGAAACGGTCAGAGCGGTCAGGCCCTGGGCGTCTCGTGTTCTCGAGGCCGCCGTGCTCGCTGACCCACCGCGATATCCCGAGGGGGCCTCCCGCTCACTGCCACTGTCACAGCGGCGCTTCCCCAGAGCGAGCGCCGCGTCTGCCGCTTGCCCTGTCGCTCGTCTTGAGATTCCTCCGCCTGGCGCCTCTGAGTCGTCCTCGCTCTCTCTCTGAGTCGTCCTCTCTCTGAGTCGTCCTCTCTCTCTGAGTCGTCCACGCTCTCTCCCTCTGAGTCGTCCTCTCTCTCTGTCTGAGTCGTCCTCACACTCTCTCTGAGTCGTCCTCGCTCTCTCTGAGTCGTCCTCACTCTCTGAGTCGTCCTCGCTCTCTCTCTCTGAGTCGTCCTCACTCTCTGAGTCGTCTTCGCTCTCTATCTCTCTGAGTCGTCCTCACTCTCTGAGTCGTCCTCGCTCTCTCTCTCTGAGTCGTCCTCACTCTCTGAGTCGTCCTCGCTATCTTTCTCTGAGTCGTCCTCTCTCTCTGACTTGTCCTCGCTGTCTCTCTCTGAGTCGTCCTCGCTCTCTCTCTCTGAGTCGTCCTCTCTTTCTGACTCGTCCTCTCTCTCTGAGTCGTCCTCTCTCTCTCTTTGAGTCGTCCTCTCTCTCTCTGACTCGTCCTTTCTCTGAGTCATTGCTCTCTCTCTGAGTCGTCCTCGCTCTCTCTCTGAGTCGTCCTCTCTCTCTTAGTCGTCCTCTCTCTCTCTGAGTCGTCCTCGCTCTCTCTGAGTCGTCCTCGCTCTCTCTCTGAGTCATCCTTGCTCTCTCTCTGAGTCGTCCTCGCTCTCTCTGAGTCGTCCTCGCTCTCTCTGAGTCGTCCTCTCTCTCTGACTCGTCCTCGTTCTCTGAGTCGTCCTCTCTCTGAGTCATTGCTCTCTCTCTGAGTCGTCCTCGCTCTCTCTCTGAGTCGTCCTCTCTCTCTGACTCGTCCTCGTTCTCTGAGTCGTCCTCTCTCTCTGAGTCGTCCTCTCTCCCTCCCTCCCTCTGAGTTGTTTGTGAATGCTTTGAGTGAATGCGTGATCTATGGGCGTTTTCCGTTTTTCTTCCTTTAAATGCAATGTTTGTTTTATGTAATGATTACGGTACATTATCGGTGAATTTATAAAAATACGTCTTATTCATTCGAGGAAGCTTTGGTGAGTGTTTCAATAGTCTTCTTTTAGGAGGGTCCGCTGTTACGATGCCTAACCATTTTTGATTATAGTTCTCAGTCAGTCCCTCGCCGTGACGTTTTCTTATACATGGTGAGAGATGACACGTTTAACTCGAGAACAGTAGTTTTATGGTGGATAGATGGAGTCGCTTCACTTCGCGATTGATTTAATTTCACGATTTACCGCAGCAAACATCGTCTTTGGTGGTAACGTTTTTTGTCGCAGAAAAAGTTCAAAGTCTCAGGGATAATAAGAATAATACGACAGAGATTAGAAACTCCTAAGCACACTTTGCAGCTAAAGTTTCCCTCGTTCAGAATTCTGCAGAATTATTCGTGAGTTGGTATAATGGGTTTCAAACATTTCATTATCTTTCCTCTTTGAGCAGGTATCTCTCAGTTTTCAAACATTTCATTGTGTTGACTCTTTACAAAGGTATCTATATCTTTGCACAATGCAGAGTCAGCGTGTGCTGTGACACCTGGGTGGATTTACAGCATCAGCACTTAAATGCAGTGTGAAAGGTGAACAATGAACGATTGCAGCCCGCTGTATGGAAATTCAACGTGGCTCTTCACAGAAATGACAAAAAAAAATCCCCAAGTATCGCTATGTCCATATGAACTCTTGGCAGTGCACGTATCTATTGGCCATCCCCAGGTGGACATTTCACATTTCTACGGTGAGAACAAGTCTCAAACAAAATCCTCCGTTCATCTCTCTTCACCAAGTGGCATAACCTTACAAGGTGATTCTTGTTTTAGCTATCTTGGACAGATGATAAGGTGGCCAGGTTGGCCCTTGCTGGGATTTTAACTCCACTGAAATATGACCCAGCTGATATATTTTCTACGGGGGTTGGAGGGGTGGCACAATGGTAAGCACACTCCGCTTCGAACTCTATGAGTTCAATTCCCGGATTACAGCTAACACCAGTAGCGAGTGCATTCTAACCGGGACCTGACCCCCTTCCCAGCAAACCTCTACCTTCCCATACTCCTACAGCACAATAAAACAAGCCCCCTGACTGATACGGTGTGCAACGGCGTTCATCTAGGAGTAGATACGACTTAAGAGCCGTACATTATTTCTTCGGCATTATTCCAAAATTATTGAGGATCGTGAAAATTCAAACGTTGCCTGCGTTTTCGACGAAGGCAGCATGTTCGGTCCCAGGTTTTCTTGACCCCCCCCCCTAGATGCGCGCAGAGATGGACACGTGGAACGTTCGGCTACGGTGAAGATGAGCGCTTATCGTTCCGAGGGCATTGTCACGGGCGAAGAGAGCAATTCCGAGACGCAAGCGTTGTTGTACAGTGTGGCGGCGTCCGTCGCCAGGGCTGGAATATTGAGCCTCACCCGCGCAAAGCAAACAAGGAGCCAATTGGCGAAACCTTAAAACGATCGCGTTAAATGAGTTGGACACCGTCCAGTCACTTTAACTTTTTAATGTAAACGAAAAGTGATGACTCTGTTGATGGCGGATTTTTTTTTTACAACCATTAGATTTGGACCTTGGCCATGCAATCACCTTGTTTTCGGTTGGCGTTTTTTATGCCATCCCGCGGAAAAATAATCTTTTAAACGCTCCTGCGAAAATGTGAATTTTGAGAATAGTGGTGTAGGAAATGCCTCTTTATTGGGTAATGTGCCAAAGAATGGCAAGTCTGCTTGAAAAGAAAGCAAAGCAAAGTAAGAGACCAAGTTGTGACTTAAACAAAAACATTTTTGCTGCCAAAATTATCAGGGCATTAATATAATGCCGACAAAAATATACGCGTTTGTCAAGAGTCTTGCTGACAGGCCTTCATCGAAGTTGAACAACTGTATTTTTGTTTCTGACTATCACGTTAATTATTGTTGTTATTATTTCTTGTCATTCATTCGAAGTGGAATGAACGTCAATATGAGGGCCAAATCAGCAATGGTAAATAAAGCGAGCATTTACCTAGAAAAGCGTATTTTTCTGTAGAGCCCTTATTTCGGGGTGTTTGGCCAATCCCTTTTTCTTTCTAAGTTGGCGTGTCAGAACGAATGTGACGCGCCTGGAGAAACCCATAACCATCAAGGGGAGAAAACATTACATAGAGGTCAACAATTGGCTTTCTGTTATAAGTGCTCATTGCCCTGTAGACTCCATCTCTACATGGTCCACCAACCCTGTCTTAAAGAAACACCAACACGTCGCATTCTAAGTGGAGTTGCGTCACCGTGGCCAATGACGTTGTTTTCCACCGCACCTCGCCAATACTTTTCCTTTACCCAGGAAACCCTTGCCGGGGCTCGAAACGCTGTCCTTGTCTTCGAGACGTTTAGCCAGCTCCACTGGAGTGGCAGCCAAGAGAGAGAGCGCTCCCAAGAGGGCAATCCACTTGGAGATGGAGCTACGAAATAATGCCCGCGTTGTAGGAGCTCGGCGTATTGTTTTATGACAGGGCCGTGAGAGAAGTCGACGCCTTGGGGAGGCCTTCATCACCAGCAGAGGAATGATTATGGCTTGATGATGGCTTAGGTTCGCAGGACAAGCCGAAACCTATCTCGTGCAAACATTAGAAGTACGCTACATAATTGTGGTGTGTGTGTGCGTGCGTGCGATTCAAGTCTACATTACGCCCTGTGGACGACTGCTGCTCACGTTCTGAAGGGCCGCGGTGATGTATAAACTTCAAAGGGTCGCATTTTTACGTGTGCGCTCGCATTTAACTTAAGAGTGAAATCCCCATTGTCTGTTCAGGGACAGAATCTCGCTTCACCAGTTTAAAGAGAGAGGGGGGGGGGGGGGGTTAGGGGGTTCGTAGTTTTGTAGCCATAAGGGTTAAGAGTATGGGCGCGGATGGTGGAAAGTGGGTATGACACGTGCCTTGTCTTCAGGCACATTCTCTGTGGTTTGTAAACGTCGTAAACAATTAAAATCTCATCGGTTTTACTCTAAAAATATTTTGACGACTACGATGATGGCGATAATGATACAAGTGAACTATAAAATAATTATCTTCGTTACCTAGTAATGCCCACTGAGCTACATAGCTCTTTTTCAGAAGCGACTTGGCTACAAATGATAGCCGAACGAGAAGTGGCCGATCAATTCATAGCCATAGCCAAATCCTATAAACGCATGTTTCTAAATGTGGAGGGCAAAACTGGAGGACTCAGAGAAAAATCTACACTACCATGGGGAGACATGCAAACTCCATACATACAGGCGTATGTATGTTAACCTTTTTTTGCACCATACGTAACCAACTGCGCTAATTGGAGATGCTAACCAGAGGCGTGAGGGTCGGGATTGAACCCACGAGTCCCTGTATACCAGGCGAGGTAGTCAACATCCTGCCCCCGCGACGCCCCCATGATGACGATGTGTCCATCCGTTTGCGTGGCACCAGGGTCACGACCCCGGCAGGAGGACGCTCTCCCGCGCATCACGGAGCACCCGTCGGATCTGATCGTGCTGCGCGGCGAGCCGGCCACTCTCAACTGCAAGGCGGAGGGGCGCCCGGCACCCACCGTCGAGTGGTACAAGGATGGCGAGCGCGTGGAAATCGGCAAGGATGACCACCGCACGCTGCTGCACACCGGCTCGCTCTTCTTCCTGCGAGTGCAGCACACGCGGCGCACCAAGACGGACGAGGGCAGCTACGTGTGCGTCGCGCGCAACTACCTGGGCGAGGCCGTGAGCCGCAACGCGTCGCTCCACATTGCAAGTGAGTCCCGCGGACCTGCGGCAGGTTCTTCTTTGGGGGTCGGCGTGCGAGGGGATCGCGGGTTTGCTCTTCTGCTGCAGGCGCTCGGGAGGCGAGCGTCAGCGCGGGGGCGACGCGAGCGACTGGTACGACGTCGATGCTGGTGCGCAGGTCGCGCGCAGAACGACAACGTCGTGAACTTAGGTCACCCGCGCCTCCGATAGCACGGTTGGGGCTACGCGCGGTGTGAAAGAGGTTCGACTTGCATACGTTCAATACGTACGTACACCCGATTCAGAGCACAGTGCGGTGTTCAACGTGTCGCAAAACTCCCACAATAACACCTCTACGTGCGCATGTGGAAAATAATTGATGAGTGTGTACACGATCGAAAGGGTGCATTGTGAGACTGAGGGTAGATTGTCATCGATGAAGCGCGGTTGTCTTCGCATGGCAAACAGGAACCGTGTCAGCTGCGTTGACTCGAGGTAGGGCGTTAGCTACAGACGGCTATGTACAGGTCTGGACTGACTTGGGAAGGACTATGTTATCTCTCAGATAATCTCGTGTGTTGCTCTGGCAACTGGATGATGTCATGCATCTCCGCTCAATGGGTGTTGGAGTAACTGGAGGTTGAGTATTTTTTTTTTATCTCGGGGAGATCATTCACGCCAGTGGCCAACACACACGCGATGCTGATTTGGGTTCCGAAGCAGCTCGGGTGGCGGGCTCCGTGTTTGTTGTCCCGTGTCTGTATCGGGGGTTAAATTAACTCCACTTTGCCGCGTTTTCATCACCTGGGTCTTTATTGTCCAGGAGAAGAAAATCCCCAGCGTAAACGCAGCTGTGTCAACATTACAGTGGGGCTGGACGGGAACCTCACCCAATAATTTTTTTGTTAAATCATATCTCGTCAAAGATATCTCGCGCAGACTGAGTGGGCTGGCCACGGCAGAGGTGCGATTACGAGCAATGCGGAAATGAATGCTTTGCAGGGTGAACCCATGTGGTCCACTTGTTGGGGTGGTGTCGGGGGTGGTAGTGGTGGTGATGGTGGAGGAGGATGCATTTAAATTTCGATTTAAAGCTTTCGTGACTGCAGGGATTCATCTTCTTGGTTCTTTCGGTAAAGTCACATAGAAGGGAAATAATAAAATAATAAAAATAAAACATAATAAAATAATTCTCACGACGTTTCGGCCACAACGCAAGGAGGACGGCTGCTTGCGTTGTGGCCGAAACGTCGTGAGAATTATTTTAGTATGTTTTATTTTTATTATTTTATTATTTCCCTTATACGTGACTTTACCGATAGAACCAAGAAGAGGATGCATTTAGTTCAGCATCTGTGTGTGGAGCGAATCTCTTGAGCCGGACGCAGGAGCAGCACCGCACCGCTCACATGGCTCCGATTCGCCTCACGGGCCGGAGCCGCGGGTCGGCGATGGGCTCGCGAGCACCACCCCCACCCCTACCCCCGGGCCGCCCGCCCGCCCGCCCGCCTGTGAAGTTAGCCGTCCCCCAAATTTTACGCGTAACTTGACAAGTCGCGTTTCGCCAACGTCCAGCCCGTGTCTCCAGTAACGTGAAACTTCCCACGGCTCCCCCCCCCACCCCCCGGTGGGCACGGGTGAGCTGGGGGGTGGGGCAGTTGGAGGGGGCAAGAGTTGGGGGGGTCAGGGTCTTGGGTCTCCGGCAGCGTCTGCATCCCCACGTCATGTCGAGCCTCACCCTGCAAGGTTATTGGCCGTCGTCGCTGACGAGATTAGCGTGTGCGCGCGCGCGTGCTCATTAAGCGCTCAGGTTCCCCTTTGATACGTGACAGTCGCTCGGATGTCGAAGCACGGGCTCATTCTCGCCCCCCACCCGCCCGCCCATCCCCACCACCTCCTTTCACTCGCACACTCCACCTCCTCCCTTTGTCCCAAAATCAAAGGCACGAACCTACAGCAGGTATTTCCTGTTGCTTTCATCGAGATAGCGGGGCACCGAAAACCGTGATGTTCCCGCAGCCGTCTCATCTTTCTCACCATAGGGCCCGGCCGTTTTTCACGGAAGGTGAAGGTGGAAGGGAGGACACGCGTGTGAGATGCGTGTGTCCTCACACACACACACACCTGCCTGCCCGCCCGCCCGCCTGCCCACCCGCCCACCCGCCCTTGGTAATGACAAGCTGCCAGTTAAAAAAAACTTTTAATCCATTGTTTGCTGTCAGACGGTGTCTGAGGCATGCGATCTAAAATCATAATAATAAGCATAATAACGATGGAAAGAAAAAAAGAACATAACCATAGGGTTCGCCGGTGCGAAGGCGCCTCGGGCAAAGCGCCGCGCCCAATGTGGCACGGCGCTGCGACGGTGGAGCCGCACGCGACCTGGCAGAGGCGGTCGTCGTCGCGGCGGCTGACGAAGCGGCGCGTTCATTCGCGACAATCTTTCGGTGTTTAGCCTTTGCCTGCCCGATTTTTAATCCCGCGTTAAGAGGATCACCAGTGGGTTATCCGTTACGCCCCGCTTAAATGCACGAAATTTTTTCTATAAATAAGGCGAAATAACAGGGCCCACGCTTGAATATTTTTGCGGGCCACAACTGCCACTTAAATCGACAAAACGGGAGGGTTTTTTCGTGTGTTGTTTCTTCCTCCCATTCTCGTGTTGGTGTTCACTCCTCGCGCTTGCTCTGCACTGGAGCCGTCAACGTGTTCTCCGGCGACAAAAATTCAGAGCGAATGAAGGAAAAAAAAGCGCGAGCCGCCGAACCGGAGGCAGGGTAAATGGAGAACGTTTCACGGGACGCGAGGACTTGAGCGTGGGGAGAGGAAGGAGCCTCCCCGCACACTCCTTCTGCTTTGCTGCCCGCGAGCTCGCTGCACCGATTAGCCGTGCCGTTTTTTTTTTTATTGTACAAATGGTTTAAGGGTCACCAAAACATGCCGTGCCTGCTAATTTACTTCTCTCTAGTGGTGTGAGTCGTGGCTCGTTGGGGGCGGGGGTGTCCAATAAGGCGAAATTAAAAAGCAAAGAAAAACATTTTCCTTTTCTTCTAGAGTCTTATTTTTATATTTTAAAAGGCCTGGAGACTGAGCCGCTTGATTGATCAGGACTGGGCCGATCTTTATCTCAGAGATCAGCATGTCGATTGCGTCTCTCCCATGCCTCTTGTTAACGACCTACTTTACCCAGGGCAGGGTAGGAGACGAAAATGATCGGTGGTGGCGGCTGCAGTGGCGGCGGCCGTGCGGGCGGGCGAATTTCTCGGCAGGGTTTGGCCTCCCCGTGTTGGTTTTTCTCAGGGGTGAAGAAACCGCAGATGTCATTGTTTTGCTGCACAGGAGGAGCCTGTGCTTCCTGCGTTCGCAAGCGGTGTCGGCCAGTTGCACGATCACGCGCGACGCCGTCTTCTGAGCCCCGCCGCGCGAGTGCGTGCAAGTCCTCATTCTTTCCTGCGCCTCTCTTTGTTAAACGTTTTCGTTTTAGTGCTTTTCTTTTTGTTGCACTCTACACGTTTGTGTTTGCGGTATGAAGTTGCAGCATGCGCTGCTTGAGCGAGTAGCGACCGGCGGGCGGGCGGGTGGGCAGGCGGGCGGGTGGGCCGGAAAGTTAAACGTGTGGTTGTTTTTTTTCCTGGACGTTTCATGGGTGGCCAGACGTCGTGAAGACAGGGCGGCATGAAAGACGCGCACTTGGGGATGACGACCGAGACACGGGAGAATCGCTTGATCTCACTTTGAATTTGTAAAAAAAAAAAAAAATCTCACACACGAACGGTTGCTCGGGTCAGAAAAGTTGGGTGACTGGTCGGAGCGGAAAACGTTTCCTTCGTAATCCTAACAAGTCGAGGATTATTTTAGCAAGAGCAGACTGGAAGTACAGGCAAAACCAAGGTAACTTTACCACCATCATTGTTAAAATCAACTGTCTTATGAACTGGGAACGTTGCAGTTGGGTAAGGCCTTGCTTCGCAAACCTTTATTAAAAGCTTAAAAGGCACAGCCCTGCAATTTCTTTATCATGCCACAGCTGGCAGACGGGCCTCCATTAGAGGGAGTTGCAGAGGGAGGGCCTGTAGAGAAGCCATTTTAGCAGACCCTTCCACGCCGCCGTACATCTTGAAAGAGGTGGAAGTACCCACACTTCACCCCACCGCACACGGCATGCCGATCGACTGATTGTGGTGGACCCATTTATTCTGGTAGGTGGACAGAGGTGGCGGGCGGGGGGGGGGATTAAGAAACTGTCGTGGCGTTTCGACTGCTGTGCTTGGGAGGTCGATCCGGCGACCCCTGCGTTGCAAGTGCAGAGTGTGAACCAATGGCACTGGGGTGGCACCCCAGACTTCCCTTTATAAATTGAGGCCTACGCGATCGCCTCAGGTTTCGCTCAGCAGGTCTCTCTCCGTGTTTGAGCGGAAAAACGCAAGAGACACGAGACAGCGGTGGTGGCGGCGGCGGCGGCGTGCATCATTACATCCTCTGCTTCCACACCGCTGACCTTTTTGTTTGTCCGTTAGTGGAAAGTATTCGTGAATGCATCCTTTTATTTTTTTTTGCACGACACGGTTTTTACGGAAGTCGATAGACGATGGGCAAGGAAGGAGTTGTCTCGTCCAGCGTTGCCGAGGCTGGGTTTTGAGATCATGGTTGCTGCGGTTGTCTCCTTCACTCGGCTTTCCGATAAGAAGGGAAATAACTAAACTTCCTCGAATAAAAAAAATTGCCCTCGTTTTATCCTGCGTGAGTTCCGTCAGCCTCGCGTTTTTCATCTTCCCTCCCCCCCTCTCTAACGGACGCTTAATGGCGTCATGTGCTGAAGATGAATGCGTTGTTTTTACAGCCGCCGTCCTCATTACAGCTGCCCGTAATTGGATGGAGCCATCGTGCATAGCTCATTTTGACTCGGGAGCATTTTCACCTACATCCGTATTCCACCGAAGGTAAAGCTCACGTCCATTTGCCGTCCCATTTGCGAGCGGGATACATGTTACTCAGACACACGTACGCATCTTTAGCCACCCTGTACAT